ATTATTTGAGGGTTATAATATGATATTATTTTTGTACTAAAAATTGATAGTAAATATTTACTATTCACCATCAATCAGAATAAATTAAGTTTGGAAAACACAGCAGAGCAGAGTACTCTGTTTCTATGTTCTAGCTATCTTAATTTTTTTTGGAGAAGAAGATGATTGAAAAAAAGAGTAGAGTTATAACATAGACATATGCAATTATACATCAAATCAAAACCAACAAACATTCAAATTTCAGAACATAACATTTAATTAACCGCAACTGGAAACAGACACAACTCCGCGAAACAAAATTAACAAGGTACTTGAACTGAAGCTGCCACCATTATAATTCACAAAACAAAAACATCAACCAGCTGCTTGTCCAGGCTCGAACGCACTAGTCCAGATATCTTGACCCATCAGTCTGATTTTCCTTTCTGCTTGGATGCTGTAGTTGCCGCCAGCTGCTTGTTCAGGCTCGAACGCACTAGTCCAGATATCTTGACCCATCAGTCTGATTTTCCTTTCTGCTTGGATGCTGTAGTTGCCGCCATCTGCCGAAAAGGTAATTTTATCACCCGCTTTGAGATCTCTGTGGCGGCGATAATCATGCCAGCCCCCTTGAAAAACTGGTTTCGGGTGCCCTTCCCTCCGAACATAATACCCAAACTGCCAAGTTGTTCCCAAATTTACGTCCACGACAGGAAAACTTACCGTTTCCCCTCCTCTGCTCTCCGGGAGATGACCAACAAAGTCGCTTTGGACTGCCATTTGTTTCTTCGCATCTGTGTCACATAGAATTTTGCTAAAAGAAGGCATTGCTAATTAGAGAGAACCTTGCTAAATCAGCTAACTCAACACTTATGGTAGCCTGATGATTGTTGTGTTTTTTCAAGGCTTATCCATGCCCCTTTTATAGACTGACCAGGTACGGTCGAATGTTTTGGATGATGTAGACCTTTGCATTAGTGATTTGGAAAAGTTGAGGTTAAATGGGCCACTGAAGTGTGAAATGTGGCCGGCCAACTGGCGCCGACATTAAGAAATCGCCTGATTAACTGTCACGATCGGACGGCTAAAGGCAACTTCTGGTCGTTGTCTGGACAATTATAGGACTCATTTGATCGTACGAGAACAGAGGTTTCGCTCTGTTTTTCTCTCAGTCCATAGTCACCTTTTCGAATGTAATTTACTATTAGTTTACCACAGCCACCAAACCACTGCAATCATTAATCAATTAGGCATGTTGGTTAATTTCTTTGTATTTTCTCATGTGTTCTGTTTTGCCCTCTCTTCTTGAGCCGATCGACAGCAAATAGGGGTTTATTTAATGGATCAAAAGTCAAGAATTTTTATGTTGGGACCCATACATTGAATCAAACCTTTAATATCTTTCGTTCTGAGAGATCGGACAGCAGAGTGTTGCGCTTCCGTGCCACGATTTCCAACATACCATGCTTTCTTTTCTTCAAACAGCATGAGTATCATAGCTTTTTATTTGGTTAATTTCCCTCTAACTAGTATCAGATTTTATAAGTCAGTTATTAAATATATTTAATATTTGAATAATAAATAACATTTGAATTACAATATTGTCACGATAAATATTTTATTTTTTTATCTCAAATTGTACCTATTCAAGAAAAAAGAATTTCCTTTCATTAAAATTGTAAATTTTGCCTTTAAAGGTATGTAGTATTATAAGCCTAACTTACTAAATTTTTTTTTTTTTATACATAAAGATTAGAAAATAAATTCTTAACTTGTGGTTAAAAACACAATTAATTCTACATCAAATTATATAATTAATAATATTGAAACTATTTGTAATTAAATAATAAAAGACTCAAAGTTATACTATAACATATAATTTAAATTTATTCTTATCAATTAAGCCAACCTCAACAAAATATACTTTACTTTTTGTAATATACAATTGTAAGATTTCACCGAATCTATATCTTTAGAATCTTCTATAACAAACATTTCTATGATTACCTATACAAAACAAAAACTAAGTTTCAAGTTGCTCGCACGAGTTGGCAAAGATCGCGCGCGTGTACATAAGACTAAGAAATTTTCAGACTGCAAAAGATCAAGAAGCTTCTTTGTACCGGATAAGGCTATTTCATGTGACCAATTTTATGGACAAGACTTCAGTCACTTTCAGTTTGTTCCAAAATGA